GGGAGAGACAGCACATATAAGAGGTTTCAGTTTCAAGTCAGAACAGCCTTCATGGTCATTAAGATGTAATGGCAAAGCAGATTGTAATGCCTCTTCTATAATTTCTTTTCTGTTGATAAAGCCTTGTGGTTTTTAATGTTGAGCCATTTGATGGTGCTAACTACTTTGGGGATGAGGACTTTCTTTTCTGGATCTTCAGTAACTTCAGGTTACTTCAGGTCTTCTATAGCTGCTGAGGAGCTGGGTACTGCAGCACCTGATGGCTCAGGGGCTAGGCTAATGGTGGAGCTGATGGTCTGATGGTTGGTGTTAGCAGTGGTTTGACATGCTTGGCACATGATACTTTCTTTGTTTCAGGATGACTTACTGCTCAGGCTAGGTTGTTTTGCCTGCCTCAGCAGTGGTAATTGGTGTTGGTGGTAGCAGGGATGGTATGTTCCTTCTCCACAGGGACTGTTCCCCTAGACAGTGACTTTAGGGATTGAGCTGGAAGCAGGGCCAGTGGTCTGGGTGACTGGTGAGACCAAGAAGCGACAGGTTCCTTTTGAGAATTAGCCAGAAAAGACATATGTCTAATATATATTTTGAGAATGAGAGCAATGTTTTTTCTTCTCTGCATAGAGAAAATGTCAATTAAAGGAGGAAAACAGGACTCCAGACTCCTAGATTATGTCCCTTCCTCATCTCCCCATCATGAGCTTTGCCTTCCCCTTAGGTAAAATTTGTTCTCGAACACTCCACTTCTGGGTGTCTTAGTTAATTCTTATTATTCACTCAGGAAGTCTCCAGGGAAGGATGGTAAACTACCTGGTGCATCAGATTTTTTTCACTTTGTACTTTTGTTTTCCTGTGGCCTAAAAGGAAGAGGCTTGTCCTACATACACTCTCATTTGTCATGGGACTCGTTGCCTCACACATTGTGGTTGTTTTGGAAACATTTAAGAGCTTTTTATTTGAAGAGTCTAACTCAATCTGCACTTCTAAGGCAGAAATGTTCCCACTGAAACTGACAACGATCTGAGTTAGTCCATCTTACTCCTTGTTACTGTATTTTAATAATGTCTGGGAGCATTGAATTAGAAAGTGAGATCTGAAAAATCTCTTGGAAGAAGTGCCTTTCTACTTCTGGACATTTCCTAGCCACTACAATTTTTCTTCCTTAGTGATAACTTGTGGGTGCAACTTGCTGGGCTTGGATGAGGAGGAGTATGTCTAGTAATTTCTTGACCCCAAAGGGTTACTCACTCTTCTACTGAGTAATCTTGTCTTTTTGCAGGGAATGGGGCTTGTGATTGCTCAGGCTTTGTCTGAATACAACAGGTAAGCCCACCTTTCCAGATGTGGTTCTGGTTCTCAGCCAATGTTAATTGACTGAGTTGGAAACAGGTTTGTATCAGAGGCCTTGGTGAGTAGAGACTGTGAGTGGTTTCATCTTCTCTTATCCTTGCAAAGAAAATGGTATTAGATGCTGATATCCTGGATCAAGTGATAGTAGGTTGCCTTTATCGTAGGAATCAGTTTTCAAAATTATGGAAGTGAAGGGGGCAAGAACAGGATGATAGCTTCTAAATTTAATGTCTCTGGTTTTAACCACTGAACATGCTCCTTTACAAACTTTGGTACTTCCATATACATTACACAAGAACAAGAAAAGAACATTTTTTAAGTTTGGGTCATAATTCTCTTTGAGACTGAAAATTGTGAAAGGTGCTTCTTTTGTAGCAGGAATCAATAGCAACTTTCCACAGTCTCTTTTCTGGAGGGCTTGTTTATAGATTTGCCATTCCACGTGAATGTGAGAGGAGCTGGTATTAGTGGACACCGGCCAGCAGTGCTCCCACTTGTACAGGTCAGGGTTTTCCCAGCTTTTGTGCATGCTTTCCTCACAAAAAGCTGGGTGTTGGAATTTCGGAAATGTCCTGTTACCACAAATAGTTTATTTCCTTCCTTTCCCTTCAAAGACAAACAAGATTTTTACAGTAACGGTCTTAAAGTAATTTCCCTGTCACGGTTTTCAAGTAACAATCTGTTAGGGAAATAACGGAATCACCCATATGGTGTAGGATTTTCACACTCCTCATTCCTTCTTTCCAAGCCTTTCCCAAAGTGAACATGCATTTTGGTGCACATCGTAACTTTGGGGCAGCTGGGGCAACTGCAGAGGCCAGGTCTTTACTATGGTTGTTTTCTCCAAAGATGACTGGCCAATTTCCATGAAGAAATTTCATGCCTTTATTTCTTTGTTTTGCTGAGTGCCTAAGACAGAACCATTTACTTGATAAATAATAACAAAGTCAAATGGAGTTTTCTTTTGATTATTCAGGCAATACAAAGATAAGGAAGAAGAACACCAGAGTGGCTTTTTCTCAGCCCTAACTAACATGGTAAGCCTGACTTGTTATCACTGCTCAGAAATAGGTGACATCTGGACAGGTAGCCAAACCTCAGTTCCAAATAATGATAATAAAAATCATAATAGCTAGAATTTATCTAGTACTTTACAATTTTTGAAGTGCTATATATGTTATCTCATTAGATCCTTATAACATTCTCATGAGATATGTGCTATTATTATCCCCATTTTACCATTGAGGAAACTGAAGTGAGGTTGTGACTTGTCCCAGGTCATAGAGCTAGTAAATGTCTGAGGTAGGATATGAATTCGGGTTTCCTGACTCCTTGTCCAGTGCTCCATTCTCTGACACCAAGCAGCAGAATTGCAAGTGCATGTGGTACTGGGACAGTGAGGGAGATGGCTGTAAAACACAACTGTCAGGGTTGGAGCCAGTAGGAGCAGCAGAAAGGATTATTTTAGTTTGGATTCTCTAGGGGTGAGTTTTGAGAGACAAGTCTAAGAAGACTTTATTTTTTCTCAATTATATGTAAAAACAATTTTTAACCTTCGTTTTTTTATAATTTTTGAGTTACAAATTCCCTCCCTCCCCTTCCTTCTTGAGAAGGTAAGCATTTTGATATATATATTATACATGTACAGTCCTGCAAAATATATTTCCATATTAACCAGAGAAACAAGTCTAGAAGGTGATCTGAGTGAGTAGCCCCTGAAATGTTGGCAACTGTGAAGCTTTGTCCTTTAAGGTACCCATCACACAAGTAGTCCTAATGGTAGGGGAGCTCCTAGAGTCATTATCAGGGATGAAATTGGCAAAATATATATATCATAGAAATAGACTGGAATGACAAAATTTTAGAGATTACCAAATTTCGGTCCCACTTTTTATAAGTGGGAAAATTGAAGTCCAGAGAAAGGAAAATATATGACTAAGTTTATACAGTTTATTATTAGTAGTCAGGACTAGACCTCAGTTCTTAAAGTTCTCTTTCCATTTTTTTTGTACTGTTCTACTCTGCCTCTTTCTGTGCCCTTGGCCTTTTTTTCTTCACACTTCCTTCTCCTTGTTTCCCCCACCTTGCTTCTTCCTCAGGTACTCAGTATCTCTAAGCTTATGTCTCTCCTATTCCATATCAAAATCTGGTCTGCAGTAAGATTAATGAATTCACTAGCATTGAGTTATAAGTGACTAATAAGACCTTGTGTTGTCACAATAATTTGTAGTTTAACAGGAGATAAGAAATCTTAAGGTTAAGGAACGAAACCCTAGTTGTAGAGTTTCAGGCATTAATGAGCAGGTTGTGAATGTTTGTGTGTGTGAATGTATGTGTGTGTTTGTATCTGTGTCTGTCTGTCTGTCTGTCTGTGAGGAAGGGGGGAAGATGGCGGTTGTTGGTGCCTCTGAAGCTGCCTCTCTGCCCATGAAGCTTCTATGGCTGGAATTATAAAATATTTTTGATCCTCTGAGAGGCAGTACAGTATAGTGTTTGAAGCAACACTATTGGTAGTCAGAAGCTGTTTATATCTTTGGATAAATCACCTTATCTCTCTGGGTGTGTTTCCTCCTCTGTACTATAGGAGAGTTGGACTAGGTGATCTCAAAGGTCCATTCCTTTTCTAGCATTTTATGACTCTTTGTGATCTGTGAAACAGAAAATGCATGTGGCCTGTGCCATTTTGGGTAACCCCTGGGGCCTGGGTTTTGGATGAGGCCAGCAGCTCCTGGGAGGTTCTTTTTTAATGAGGCTCTTGCCTTGAGTGATGACCCTCATGAAAGATAAGATGCTGTAGAGTGTTTGTAGTTAGCCATTTTTACCTAGGATTAGGGATAATTATCTAATATTTATTGACTAACCTGTCTGAGAACTGATATGTTCAGCTTATAGGAGTTAAATAAATGCCTGGGGATTTGGGGAATTTTCTTATAAAGTCCCTTTTTAGGTAGAAGATCTAGTGATTTTTTTTTTTGTTAAAAAGACTGAGAGGCCTAAGACTCTTCATATGTGAAATAATGTATGTCAAGTGCTTTGCAAACCTTAGAGCACTTTTTTTATTTTTTATGAGGCAATTGAGGTTGAGTGACTAGAGCACTTTCTAAATATCAGTTATTGCTACTTCCTTAGGGGAGGGATGGACAGGGCTAGCCTCGTCTTTTCTGACATCCTGCGATTCTTCTTTCCTCCACAGGTGGGCAGCATGTTCATAGCAGATGCCCATGAGAACATTTCTGTTCAGTAAGTGCATTGACATTCCCTTGTGCAGTGGCTTGGGCTTTAGTGGTGGATTTGCCAGCTGGAATTAGAAATGGAAAATGTCACTTCTTGTAAATCTTTCCAGGATTCAAACTTTTTTTTAAAGTGATTCATCAGTGTGTTCCTGGGGTTTTAGATAATAACAGGCCCTGAGAGAGCTCTTCCTTGGCCTGATGCCCATTGTTTCTCAGGAAGTTCTAAAGCTGCTGCAGACATTCTTGAGAGTGAAGTGGAAACAGGGATGAGGAGCTAAGCTGCTGAAAGATTTAGGGACTGGTGGTTCTTTGAAGGACAGGAGCTTTGGAAAGAGTCAAGAGCATAGATCCCAGGACCTGGAGTCAGGAACACCTGTGTTCAGATCCTACTTCATGTACTTACCAGCTTTGTGACCTTGGGCAAGTTACTTAACCTGTCTTTGCTTCATTGTCCTTATCTGTAAAATGAGGTAGTTGGACTCAGTAGCCTCTCAGGTCCCTTGAAACTCGAAATCTGTGGTCCTATGATCTGCTGGAATGGGGAGGGGGTGAAGAAAGGGAGATGGGTAAATAAAGATGATAATGAGAGCCCTTGAGGAAACTGAACTGTGTGATCTAACCTATCTGTATATCTCTGAGCACATAAGTTGAAGAGAAAGTGGTATGTGGGCCAGGGATAAGGAAGGGAGGTATGCAGATGGAGGGGGCTGGTCTGAATGAGAATGATGTGAAGTTTGGAACCCTTAGAAACTGAGAGATGGTGATGGGGTGTGAAAAACATCAATATAGGTTGAGTTGTTTTAAGTTGATTAACCTCAAGCTAGAGATCCTTTAATCTGTTCTCTCCTTTCTCAGAACGAATGAGGCTATTCTTCTGGCTCTTTATGAAGCTGTTCACTTAAACCGGAATTTCATCACAGTATTAGCACAGGTTGGTTGGTGCAAGGGAAACTCAAGTCCTTTTTCTTTCCTGAAGCCAGTTTGGGCTGACCACAGAGACGCCCCTTTGGCCATATTATATTTTAGGACTAACCTATTTAAATATTGTTTGGCTGTTGGGAAAGATAGTAACTTAGAGTTTATCAGTTACTTTTGCTTTACAGTATCCCCAAATGTGTATGTTTACATCTGATGCTGAAGTGGGCCTGCTAAGATGAGTGATTAATGGTCTCGACCAGGTTGTTGATCCAGTTAATCCAAACGAGTTGGGATTACTTCATTTTGCTCTTTGGAAATCCCGTGGTATTATCTGTTTATCTGGATTTTTGCATCACTCTTTTCATCTTTCCAAATCACTACTGAATTACAGTAGTAGATAAAACAAGCTACCAAAACAAGCAAAAATGTATGTCTACATCATGTTTTCATAACTATATGACTCACAAAATCAGATAAATAATGCAGGTGAGTCAAGAGACAGAAAATCTATGGCTTTATGACCCTTTCCAGCTCTGTAGAAAACAAGGATGGGCTGGTGACACAGGGACCAAGAGAATCCTCCTGGTCAGAACTGAAGCAAAGGAGTCAAAAGGCCACACCTAATCCCATCACTTCATCAGCTGGGAGACCATTAGTCTCACCAATTTCAAAAGAAGGAAATAAAGTTAGGGTAGGAGAGTACATTGCTATTAGTAGACAAGGTAATTTATGAAAACTGAAGACAAGGAGCCACAAGCACATGGAAACAGGGCAATGTGCTAGATGGATGTTCTTAGGGGTCAGCATACAGGAAGAACCAAAATAAACTGAGAACTCAAGTGCTGTCTGTGAAAACTGTCTTTAAAAATTGATAAAGTGATTTTATTCCAAAGTTGGGCCACTTAAAATATGTATGTAGGCTTTTTTTTTTAAAGTTTCTCCTTTATAGTTTTTTTTTGTTAGGACCACTTCTCAAATCCCTCTAAGGGCAGCTACTTACAGAATCCACATTTTGCAGCCTCAGAAAAATGAGGTCTTATTTGAACTAGTTACAGTTTTAAAGATTGACTTTCTTGTCTGTGACTAACATGGGAGACTTCATTCACTGTTCTCACTAAGTCTCAGGACTTTGTCGTAGGGTCAGTTAGACCTGTTTGTCGAGGGCCATGAGTAGCAGTGGCAGTAGTTTTATTTGGTCTCCCATAAAGCTGATGGGAGCTGATGGTCTCCCAGCTAATGAAGTGATGGGATCAGGTGTGGCCTTTTGACTCCTTTGCTTCGGTTCTGACCAGGAGGAATCTCTTGGTCCCTGTGTCACCAGCCAATCCTTGTTTTCTACAGAGCTGGAAAGGGTCATAAAGCCATAGATTTTCTGTCTCTTGACTCACGTGTATTATTTATCTGATTTTGTGAGTCATATAGTTATGAAAACACGATGTAGACATACATTTTTGCTTGTTGGTAAAAATGGTGCTTTTTTAGTCCTAGACAGGGCTGCCACTGTCCTACTTGTTATAAGCATCATCTTCTGTGTTTGCATATTCTTGTTTCTTTGGGGTGGTTCTGCAGAGAGGCTTATGTAACGAGGGCCTGTTCTTAAGTTCTGACATGCTAGAGAAAACACGCTCACCGAACTCTTAAGTTTACGTTTATTGAGCGCCAATAGTGTTCAGCTCTACATAGACCCTGGAAGTCCTCTTCGGTGGGCTTTCACTTTAATTAAATAGACCATCGTAGCAACATGGAGAAAGGTTAACCAGATAGTGTTGGGAGGGAGATAGGTTTCTGTTCGTCATCCTTAGGCTTCTCTGTTTTTCTTTAGAGCCATCCTGAAATGGGCTTGGTGGCCACCCCTGTCAGCCCTGTTCCAGCGACCCCTGCCACGCCTCTAGGAACCACACCGCCTTCCTCTGATGGTGAGCCCTCCTGCAGCGTGGCTGTAAGGGTTGGTGGGCTGTGCTTTTAGATTAGGTCTTTTAGAGGGAACATCAGTCAGACCAAATGATAATCACTAACTGAGGCTTAGGAGGGGAAACAGGGGCAGGAAACCCCTGTTGGGCAGGAGAGCAAAGCACTTAATTCTCACTCCAGAAAGGCGGATGAAGCATTTCCCCCACCCCCATTGTCCCCCCACCAAAAAAAAAGTCGTATCTTGGATCCCAGAAGGAAACTTGGGAAAAGCCAGTCAGTCGAGTGTTACATGTAGACAAGTTTTTGGGAAGGTTACAGAAACTGTGTATCCCTCATGTTAGGGGTGGTCAGGAGACTTGGGTCATTCGTTACTATGCTACACAACCCTTTAGTTACTCTGTCTCTCATGGCCTCTGTCACATACATTGTGCTTTAGATTTCCCTTCCCCAGAACCCTCCAAGCAGAAATGATTGGGTTTGGGTTTGACTAATTATGTATAGTTTGCTTGTACTCTAGCATCTTGCCCCTATAAAGACAAATAAACAAATAAAATCCTCATCCCGACTGAAATTTTGAAAATGAGGGCTTTTTTTTTTTCAGTAATGTGGTATAAATTTGTTGTAACTTGTGGGATAGTCTTGTAAACAGTATATATTTGGTGACTCACCTTAAAATAGCAACAAAAAAGTATCTCGTTTACCTGGAATTATGCCTTATGCATATACTTTTTTTTGCGGGAAGAGTGGCTGCACCTTGAAGTTATCCCTGGCTCCCTCCATGTACATTAAGCCACTGGTCTGTGGTGCTCTAGCTATAAAGATTGTTCTTTTTTTTGTCTTCTTCGTTAGATGTTTCTGTGGCACCTGTTGCCCAGCATTTCAGGGCAGCACGGGTAGAGTTGGGATAGAGGTATGGCAAGGGAGGTGCCACTGATGTGAAAGTCTTCTGGAACAAAATGGAAATGGCTAGAATCAAAAGAACTAAATTCCCAAATATCTGAGCAAGAAATAGCAAGTAGGGAGGATTACTCGTCTGTCTCTGCTATTCAGGTCGCTGCATATCCCAGCAGAAAGGCTTCTTTCTCTGTGAGGAGGAAGCCTGCCTGTTACCATGGATATCAAAAGCCTCAGTAAATTATATATAATACCTATCTGTGGCTGTAGCCGAATTCCATGTGATAACTGGGGTTCAGTACTTCAGAGTGCTGCCTTTCAAATGGCTCATTGTGAACACTCCCACCCACATACTTGATTATGCAGTGGCAGGACTTGTGCTTACTTACCTACAACCAGTGTGCTTTTATTCTTTCCAATGAGAAGAACGAGTCAGCCCACTTTTAGATGACAGCCAGCACCGTCTTCTTCCACAAAGGCTGCTGGGGGAGATTACGAAGCCAAAGATAGGGCACGGCTCTTCCCAGAGGAAGGAGGCTTGCATTTGGGAGGGATTTTGTTCCTGCCACTGTTCTGTTGCTCTCTCTCTCCCTCCTCCCAGTCCTTTTCTTACCCTGCAGGGCTCCTAAGCTCTCTAGTCTTGTTTTTGACTTCGAGTTTTAAAATTATAGTGATGCTCAGTAGCCTTGCTATATTTAAAGGTATGTCACTGGAGCTATAATTTTTAAGAGCCAGCAGTTTAGCTGTAACATTTGTTCTCAGTTCAGACTTGACATTTGACAACTCAGCCTTGGCATGAGAGGGCTTTCTGGTAAACTAAAAATACATACACATCTATATTTCCACTATTACATAAGGCAGTCTTCAAATGACTGCTCTGGTGGGGAGGGGAAGGCAAGAAAGAAATCCCGTTTTTCCAGTTAGATACCTTTTTGGATAACGGAATGATTGTGGGCTCTCAGCTTCAAAATAGGCTCATGGCTTGAAATGAGAGTCCCTAGGTCATTAACCCATAACATGAATTAAGGCCTTTTAGTATTTCAACATAAAAATATATTTGGCTTTTATGAGTTCTTAGGGGCTGAGCTGTGGGAAAACAGCCAAGGGTTGGGTGTGTTAATTTCTTCTCATAAGGTTTTTTGCTGTGCTTGCTGTGTGTTACGGATCCATAATATGCAAATGTTTTCCATTGTTAATAAACGTTCTCTGCATACATCATAACAGCTCTCGAGGGACCCATTATGGCTATGAATACATATTATGAGTAATATCCCAAGCTCAGCTAAGTCTTCCTGGGTGCAAAATGGAGTAGAGAGACTTTAGGCCTGGGCCATCATAGAACCTCTTTTTGCTTTTGTTTGATTCCTCAAATTAAAGTATTTAGCAAAAGGTCAGGGTTCTAATTCAGGGTAGTGGGATCTTGGGGAATCTGCACAAAGATTGACCTGCAGAAGGCTCAGGTCCTTTGCCCATACCTCTATGTAATTTGTGGTCTAGTGAAAGATGGCCTTCCTTTCTTTGGGTTCCCTTTGGGGAAATGGTAGTTGGTTGTATAAAATTTAATTCCCAGGCTTTCCATACCCTGTTTTTACTCTTCCATGGGAGAGAAGGGATCTACAGAGAGGCTGAGGGGGAGACTCAGTATGGAAACTTCTATCTCAGTTTGTTTTTACTCTGGGGCGTTTATAACCTAAAAGGCTATTCTGAAAACATGAGCCTTTATTAACCAGCAGATGCTGTCTGGCTCCTCTGAATTCAGTACCAGCTCTTTCCTCTTAAATTCAAATGAAAGGGACTTAAAAAAGGGTTTTGATCTCTCTTAGGTCTGTTGAGAGTAGAATACACTTGCCCTTTTTTAGAGCAGCAGAAGAAAAAGATTGTGTGATTAGAGGTCAGCTTAGTTCTTGTCCTCCTGAGCAGATAACTTATTCAGTTATTATTGGTTCATAAGTGGGGAGAAGTTGGCTTGGAGTGTGTCATAATGGTAAGTGCACTTTATCCATTTTATTCCAGTTATAAGTTCTGTGGAACTCCCACTGGATGCAGATGTTCAGACCAGTAACCTCCTGATAACCTTCTTAAAGTACAGCTCCATTGTCATGCAGGACACTAAAGGTAAGTCCTGCCTATCTAATGGTTCTGGCTGGCTGTCAGATGTGTGATGAGTAGCACTGAATCTCTTCAGACCTCTGCCCAAGAAAATCTAACAGACTTCAAGGGAGAGAGATCGTCCCAGATGCTGAATTGGTGAAGTGATTTCTTATAGACAAATGGCGCTTGGGTGGCCTTGGGAAGGATAAAAGCTGGTGGGAAAATGACCAAGAATAGGACCTGGGATAAAATTGTTACTATATGATAACCAGGACCTGTATTTCTTGAGACAGTTATAAATAGCATGTGTCTAGGAGCGGATAAGTAGGTAGATAAATAAATCCTTGTGGAAAGTGGGCTATAGAAGTAGCCCTTAGAAAGCTCCTTTTTTAAATGCCAAAAGTATGAATTTGTGGTACAGATTAAATGCTAACTATATAGAGGGGGACAGAGTGAACTGAGAATTAGGGAGATTTCATTCTTTGACAGCTACAGAAGCAGCAGTTCCTCTACTTGGAGGGTATTTGGGTAGAGTAGAGATGGCAGGGTTTGAGGAATTGGTTTTTATGATTGAATATCCAGCATTTTCTTTGTTACTGATTTTAAGGGGTTCTTTAATTGGTGGAGGAGGGCAGTGGGAAGAGTAGTCATCTTAGCAAAATTTCACCAATTGTTTATCTGATTTAAGGTTTCCTCTAAATAACCTTGTTGCTTTATAATGACACTTTGCATTTTTATAAGGGTCTTTTCAGAAGGGCTTCTTCAACCTCTGTTTTGGGAACAAGCATTGTATTTGTTAAAAATTAAATTAAATTTTTAGCTCTAACTGACAATGCAACAAACATTATATTTCCCTTCTAGGCAAGTTTTCTTAGAGGCAATTTCCTAGGAAATCTATAGTTTTTGGAATCTTACGTTTTTTTTTTTTTTTTTGCTAGGCAGTAGGGTTAAGTGATTTGCCCAGGGTCACACAGCTATTAAGTGTCAAGTGTCTGAGGCCGGATTTAAACTCAGCTCTTCCTGACTCCAAGGCCAGAGCTCTATCCACTGCACCACCTAGCTGCCCCTGGAATCTTACTTTCCAAGTGAATAAACTATTCCCTTGCAGGGTAGTATAGAGTTCCCTTAAAGAGAGGCCAGCCTTCTAGATTTCCCTCCCTAGATGCCTTTTGATGGCTGCTGCTTTTAATTCAGTCCAACAAACATTAAACAAGCACCTGTTGTGGACAAGGCACCATACTAGCCACTGGGGATACAAAAATAAAAATAAAACGGAATTCCTACCCTCAAGGAGATTGCAATCTAAAGGGGAAGCTAAGCTTTCTATACAGTTAACTTGTATGTGGCCTATGTTAGGTACAGATAAAATGTGATGACAGATTTGGGAAGGAAAAGAATTTTTAACTTAGGAGGACTTAACAAAGGATTCAGAGCAGTAGAGTCACCTGAACTGGATAGGAGAGGGGGGAGTCTGTGTAAAGCATGGGGGAACAATGTGAGGAAACCCCACACATATGGGAGTGGACCAGATTAGAATAAGGGACCGTAAGTTGTCATTTTGGCTAGGTTATAGATTATATGAAGGGTAGTAGTAGAAATGAGGGTGAAGGGAAGCTCTTGAATGCCAAGATAGGGAGTTAACTTTTATGTGGTAGACAGTAGGAGCCATTGAAGAGTTTTGAGTAATTTGTTTTATCAGAGCAATGCATTAGGAAGATTTCTTGAGCAGCAGTATGAAGGATGGATTGGAGAGATTTGAGATTGGAGTCCAGAAGACCAGTTAGGAGGCTATTATAATAGTTCAGGTGAAGGGTGCCCTTTTTTTTAAATGTTAAAAAAATTTTTTTAAATGTCAAAAAAATTTTTTAAATGTTAAAAATGGTTTTAACATGTAATTGGAAAAATATTAAATTAAAAAATAAATTGATAATGGATGATAAATGTTGGAGGGGATATGGGAAAATTGGGACACTAGTGTGGAGTTGTGAACTGATCCAACCATTCTGGAAGAGCACTTTGCAACTACACCCACAGGACTATAAAACTATGCATATGTTTTGACCCAGCAACACTACTACTAGATCTGTACCCCAAGGAGATTTTTTTTTAAAAGGGAAAAGGACCTATTTGTACAAAAATATTTATAGAAGCTTTTTTTGTGGTGGCAAAGAATTGGAAATTGAGGAGATGTCCATTATTTAGAGAATGGCTGAACAAGTTGTGGTATATGAATGTAATGGAATATAAGAAATGAGGAGCAGGATGCTTTTAGAAAAGCCTGGAAAGGCTTACATGAACTGATGCAAAGTGAAGTGAACAGAACTAGGAGACACACACACACACACACACACACACACACACACACACACACACACAGAATATATAATAACAGCAATATTGTACAAGGATCAACTGTGAATGACTTAGTTATTCTCAGCAATAAAGTGATCTATAACAATTCTGAAGGACTTAGGATGAAAAATGCTTTCCACCTCCAGAGAAAGAACTGATGAAATCTGAATGCAGATTGAAGTGTACTAGTTTTCACTTTATTTTTTGTATTTTTTTGTCTGTGTTTTCTTTCACAATGTGACTAATATGGAAATTGCGTAACTGCACAAGTAAAAGATGGATCAAATTGCTTACCATCTCAAGGAGAGAGGGGAGGGGAGGAAGGAAGGTAGAGAATTTGGAACTCAAAATTTTTAAAAATGTTAAAAATTGTTTTTACATGCAATTGGGAAAAAAGAAAATAATATTTTAAAAAATTAAAATAAAGTGATAATGGAAATGAAGGGCAGATTTGAGAGAGATTATGGAGGTAGAATAAAGAGGACTTAGCAGTGTTTTGGATGTGACAGTGGCAAGGGTTACCAAGATTACAAGCTTGAGTACTGGAAAGGGTGATGGTGGCCTCAGTGAGAATTAGCTAAATTGAGGAGCTGTAGGTTTCCTAGGGGGAAGCTGAGTTCAGTTTTGGACATGTTTTGCAATGTTGAGTGTATATAACTTTTGTAGGGAGATCTTGAAGGCTCTGGGGAGAGAGGGATAAGATAGTGGTATTCAGAGGTATGAGTGATGATGGAAGAGGGAATAGCATCTGGAACCTAGTGGGAAATGAAGAGGGGGAAAAAAACAATCTTGTAACAGTGCCCAGACCAGGTAGAGAGTAAATATTGAAAATGAGTTTGGGACATTGAATCTGGGGCTGGGAGGAATCTGAACAGGTGTAGTTAGGGAGCTATTATGTTAGATTATGGTTAACTTTCAGAGGCATTTACTTTGGACCTCACTTCTTCTCTCATTCCCCTATAAATAAGGGCCTTTTTAATAGTCTGTAAATTTCTGAGGACTGTACCCCCATTGTGAGAATGTGGAAAAAGTGTTAATAGTGTTATACTATCATAACACAGATGATCCCTTGGGAGCCAGAAAGATAGCTGAACTTCAAAAATAATCTCTTTGGAATAGCAAGTGAGATCCAGCAAGGATAACACAGGATAACAAGACTCTTGTGACACAAGAATTTCCTAGGACAATTGCTTCTCTTTTGTGGAAATAGTAACCTTTCCCTAGAAATATTATAGCAGCCAAAGAGAACGTCAGCATTGATGTGACCCAGAAAATGAACTTTTAGTCTTGCTTGAGATATCACCATGAAATTCAGGCCTCTGTATCTCATTGTTATCTTAATGATTACATAAACATCTCTGCCCCAATCTCTGGATTCATAAAATAAAATGCAGAACTGGGAACTGACTCTTTGTAATATATTGGATTCTAGGATGGGAGGTCTTTGCTAATAGGCAGCCAGAATGTGTAACAGTGGGTAATGGAGGCAGGCTGGGTGTAATCTGAGGCTGATTTCAGAAGGGACTACTGGGCCTTTGTTCTATTGGTGGAATTCTCTGTTTGCCTATTGAATATTTGCTTGCAGCATGACTTGGGCCACACAAACCCTTCTTTATTCTCTAAGAAAGACCAGGTCTGGTGACTCTTTTGGAGAGTTTTGTTTAAGGGGTT